GTCACAGTGCATGTTAAGTGTTATCTTACTGAGCACATATGGGTTGGGAACAACACTAGATGTTCCTTTTTCTCCTCCTCGTTCTCCCCCGACTCCTCTTTTTGTGGTGGTGCTGGGCGTTGAACCCATGGCCTTCGCTTTGAGCTACATCATCAGCCTTTTTATTGCATGTAGTTTTTGTTTGTTTTGTTTTGTTTTTGTCTTTTTGATATGGGGTTTTATTATGCGGTTCAGGCTGGCCTTGAACTCACTTGTAGCCCAAGCTGGCCTCGAACTCACAGTGATCCTCCCGCCTCAGCCTCCTGGTACTGGCATTACAGGTGTGCACCACCATGTCCAGCCTTGTCTGTTTGGTTCAACACAGGATCTCACTGAGTTGCCCAAGTTTGGCTCAAACTTGTAATACACCTACCTAAGCTTCCAGAGGGCTGGGATCACATCAAGCTCTGTTAGTGCTGTGTTTTACCTCATTTAATCCTCATAATGATGTCAAACAGGAGGGCTATAATTATTCCCATTTTACAGACTAGTAGACTGAGTCTCAGACACCTGAGCTAACTTGTCCAAGATCATCTATTCCACTACCAAACGGCAGAGTCACCATAATCCTAGGTCTGTTTGCCTTTCCAATTCTTTTCAACACCTCTCACTATGTCTCCAATAGAGCTCTGCAGAGTGCTCTTACTGGAGCAAGGCAAACCTGCTTGGGAGAACTTTCCTCCACCTTCGGGCAGGGCATGCAAGCCCGGTGGCTGGAATTTGTGTCTGGGCAACATTTCAGGGGTCACATTGCTTTTGTTTCAATGCATGGAACTGGAAACCACGCCAAACTGCAAAGAGCGTATCTCTGGCAGGGGCAGGGACAGCGAGCTGGACTTAGCAGGAGCTTCTTCCTTCTGCTCCCTGATGTGTCAGCAAAGGCACCAGCCCTTAGCAAATCCAGCCCTCGGTTCAGGCAGTGGATCTGAAAACCCCGTTCGCCTCTCCTGTGCGCCACCTGGAGGGCATTTATGTTACTGCCCTGACAACCACATAGTACCGCAGGTGCTTTGCCAAATCCAAGGATTCTGACAGCCCGGTTAACGGCAGCTGATAAAAAAGTGCAGCTTGCCTCCCTGCCACCCCGGTGCCCTTCACAGCCAGTGTCCTGGTATTCCAGCTACAGTTCCCACAGCGCCACTCATCCCTCCTGACGCATCTTTGCGTGGGCCATTCCCGCTGGCTGGGATGCTTTTTCCCTGACAATCTACCAGGCAAATTCCTCTTTACCTTTCAGTCTCCAGCTCAAAAACTCTCTCCCACAGTCTTGCTTGACGCCTTCAGTCCTACTGAGACATCTTTCCTGTGTTCCCATTGTTATTTCTACTCCCTCTGAAACAAGCATTTTGGTGTGTGTCTCTGGGCCACTGGTTAGATCCACAGAAAGCTGAGATCATAAGCTTTAGTCTTAGTCTGGCCTTGAAGGCTTCAGTCAGTCTACAAATAATGTTTTGTGCCCTTATGTGTCTTAGAAAAATATGAATAAGCTGTCAATACTTAAAAGGAGGAGTTTCAGCCATGTATTACAGTGCATACCTGTAATTCTAGCACTCTGTAAGGCTGAAGCCAGAGGACTGCAAGTTTGAGCCCAACTAAGGCAATTCAGTGATTTAGTGGGACCCTGTCTCAAAAAAAATTGTTTTTTGTCTTTTTCTTTTTTTGTCGGTACTGGGGATCGAACTCACGACTGCCTGCTTGCAAGGCAGGCGCTTATGCCGCTGAGCTAAATCCCCAGCCCTCCCTACCCCCAGTCTCAAAATTTAAAACTTTAAAAAGCGCTGGGATGTAGCTGAGTACAAAGGCCTCGAGATCAATCTTCAGATCTTCCCCTCCGTTAGCAGTTTCATAAGACAATCTAGATGTCCAATTTTCCTTAAAAAAAAAACTGGAAAATAAGTTAAGCACAGTGGCACACACCTGTAATCCCACCATTCAGAAGGCTGAAGTGGAGGGATCACTAAAGCCCAGGATGGACAACTTTGAGACACTGTCTCAAGATAAAGGGCTCCAAATGCAGCTCAGTGGTAGAGCATCTCCGGATTTAATCCCTAGCAAGCAAAAAACCAAATGAAACAAACAAGCAATGACCTGGAAGAGAGTCAAGCAAGGTGGTGTGTGCCCGTAGTCCTACCTACTCGGGAGGCTGAAGCAGAATTGCTTCTGTCTAGAGTGTGAGATAAGCCTGCAACACAGTGAGAGCCCCATCTCAAAAACAAACAAACATGAGACCCCCAAAGCCCCAAATGATGTGGCACTTTGGGTCTGCATTTCCACAAGGCTACAATCAGTTGGGGACCCTCTTCAAATAGGCACGAACTTCCTATTTTGCATGGTCTCCGCTCGCTACTCAGGGTGTGCCTACGTCCTTGACCCCAGAAAGATGCTGAGATACACTTATGAATGCACAGAAGATGAATAAGAAAGACGAGACAGAGAGGCGGAGAGTACAAAGTGAATCTATAAGACTTGCTTCTGTCCCCTCGGTCGTCTGCCCCTAATACTGAACCACTAGAAAGACAAACATTCTGCTTGACTGACTTTCAGCGGGAAAGTGCATCATGGGAGGGAACCAGGCAGCTTCAAGGCTGTAAAGCAGGAAAGGAATCTGCAGAGGTATAAATCCTTACATCACATCAATGAGCATGGGATATGCTCATTGTGGGATAGGACGATGCTTCTGTAGGCAGGCCCATCCTTTCCCTTCCAGGATACTTAGCATCACATGGCTCCAGCCTCCTTCATGCCAGGCATGGCTCCTGTTTCTGCTCTCCCTCCTGTTTAACTCATAGCAACAACCAAAAGTGTGTTTACAAATTTCTAAGTGAGTCCGGTGGAGAATGAAGACCACGTTGGAGCTCCTGTTCCCTGGCCTCGCTCACGGCAGACATTGCGAATCAACCACAGAGCTCTTCTCTTCAGGGGCAGGACACAGCTTCAATCCCCTCTCCAGCCAGCACTTGAGGAATGCTCCACTCAATGGCTGCAGTAGGCGCTTGGTGGCCACACTGCAGGCCTGCTTAATCTCTCTCATAAAGCCTTACCTGACCTAATGTTTGTGCCCTTCTTCTTTCCAATGGCAGTCTTGCTGGAACATTGAGCTTAAAATAACTCACTCACCTATCTCGCTTATTGTCCTAGAAACCAATACATTCAGTGTCCATCAGGCTGCCCTATTGTGGCCCCCAGACCCTCATCCTTTGTCTTGATCTACCTCTAAGCCATTTCCTGGTTTGCCCTGACTCCCCCAATTCTAGACCACGATTCACATTCACTCTTTCATCCTTCCTCTTCCAATGACTGAAATTCATATTTCTGACTTAGACTTTCTTCCTGAATTCCAGCCTTGAATAACTTTATCCAACTCCTTTGCCTGAATAATTTAACACAGTATAAATGCACACACCCAAGGCTGAATTTTTTTCTTTTTGAGAAGTACTGGGTATAGAGCCAAAGTCTTTGCACTGAGCTACATCTCCAGCCCTTTTTCATTTTGAAAGAAGCGCTCTGTAAACTGCTAATGCCTAGGTTGGGCTAGACTTTGTGGTCTTCCTGCCTCAGCTTCCCAGAATGCTGGGATTACAGGTCTGCACTACATACCTGGATTCTAAACCTGAACTCCTAATATTCTGCCCCTGACCTAATTTCCATGCAGTCTTCCTCAGATCAACTAATGGTAATTGTCGTGGTTTATGTCAGTGACCCCCCCAAGTCTCATGCAATTATGGATGCAGCTGAATCTAACATTTGTGATTGGTTCATTGTCTAGCGTTCAGATTGGTGGTGTGAGTGCTATGCCTGCCCAGGGGCCAAAATACAGTGTAACACCAGGAAGAAGGCGTGTCTTCTCTCTTGCAGGTTCGTAATTGCTGTTTACCGTGGCCCTGTTACGCCATCCTGCCACACCTGGAGCCAGCTGTGTATGGACTGAACCTCCAACATTGTAAGAAACCTTTCCTTCTCTAACTTTGGGCATCAGGTATTTTATCTCAGCAATAAGAAAAATTAACCAAGACAGTAATTCTATCCTTACAGAGACTGAAAGCAAAAACCCTGGAATCATTCTTGATTCCTCTTTTTCTCTCATACCTCACATCCAATGTCAAGAAACCCTGTCAGTGCCCTCCATGCATCCCTTCTTCTCTCCCCACTGCTACCCCATCCAAGCCACCGTCACATCTTGCCCAAATTATTCCCCTAGTCTCTCAGCTCCCAGCCTGAGCGCTGCAGGGCGAGCCTCATAAATCTGGTGACACAATTCCATGCTCAATGCCTCCCAGCAGTTCTGGTTTCTAAATGACCCTGAAAATATTTCCTTCAACCCTCCCTGCTCACCCAACATGCTGCCACGCCTCACTGTTCCCCGACCCTACCGGGCACGTTGCACTCAGCTTGCACAGACCCCAGTGTCTGCCGGGCTAACTCACGCACCTCTTTCCAGCTTTTGCTCAAAGGCCACCTCCCCAGCCACCTTTTCTCATCATTCCTCCATCCCCTTCTTCCCCTCTGCTGTTTCCAGAGCCGCTGTCATCTCCTGGGTCACTGTACAACATACTCACTATATGCAAATAAGACTGTGATGACTTTTGTTTCTTTGTTCCCTTCTGTATCCCTGGTACCCGGAACAGTTCCTAGGCCCTCGTAAATAGCTGATAAATGAAGACTTGATGATTTCTGGTACCTTAGGGTGAATACCCTGCTCAGTTCAGCCCAAATCTAGAGATAACACACCAAGGACAGACTTCCAAGACCTCTGTCCCTAGAAGGGTTCAGTTTGACCTTAGAACATTTCCCACACAGTGATGGAGCAATATACCAGGTCAGCCACCACCACACAGGAGGGTCCTAGAATTTGGAGGCAACATAATGGACCAGGTTTTCCGTTTCTCCAGCCTCGGGCTTCCTCTGTGAATCAAAGAGAAACATTCTCTGAACAGGATCTTTGCAGTGGCGAAGTCCTTTACCTTTCCATCGGTGGCCTTTTTGGAGAGGAGGTAGCAGAAGACCTAGAGTCTGCAGAGTCTCGCCTGAAAGAAGAGAAACTGGAGATTACATGGTTTTGTTGGCCAGCAGTGGTACTGATGCCCCAAGAGGCTGGGAGAAGGTGTCCCAGAGTGAGGCTTGGGTCACGGTTGCCTGGGGGAGGGAGCTCCAGGCAGTGCTGGCTGCTCCCTCCTGCCTCCCCCAGCTAATAACCACAGATTACATCTGTATCACGTTCCATCATGTAATTAACTAATTACTCCTAACTAGATCACAGCGGACCCTCGTCCTCCTCACTGCCTGGCACGCTTTGGTGGCTGGAGTCCATGGGGACTGGGCGCCTGAGACTGTCAGCAGAGAGCACAAGAGAGGGGCTTCAGGTTTCCCTGCAGGGCGCCTTAGGGAGGGGAGGGGAGAAGCACTCCAGGTGTGGAGATAGATGGAAAAACTGAGTTTTAGATACCAAGTGAAAAGGCAAGGGACAGAATTAGATGTATTCTGTGTCTGAGTCCTATAAGAAAACTAATGCCTAGAAGAAAAAAATGGAAAGACAATATATCCACTTGCTATCACCACTGTTAGCTAGAGTGATGAGCTTAGACGTAAAAGGCTTTTTTTTGTTGTTGTTTTTTTTTTTTCCTTCTTTTTCCAAAATGCAATTAGCTAGGGCTGGGGATACAGCTCAGCAGCACAGTGCCTGCCTGGCAAGCACAAGGTCCTGAGTTCGATTTCTGGTACCAAAAAAATGCAGTTAGTTACATTCTTTTTATGATCTCTAGTATCATATTTCCTTTCATTGGTTTTATAAAATTAATGTTTATAAACTCCATTCCGCATCTTTTTATTTTTGTTTTTGGTTTGTGTGCTTTTTGAGATGGGGCCTTACTATGTAATCTAGGTTGTTCTGGAACTCACTATGTACCCCAGGCAGCTCTCACACACACAGTGAACCTCCTGCCTCAGCCTCCCAAATGCTGGGGTTCAGGTGTGTGCCTGACTTTCTCTGGCTTCTTATCCAATTTTTCTTCTAACTCCTCAGCGTGTGTCATTTTCTAACACTGTGTCACTTATTGTTTACTAGAGAAACAGATTTAATGCAAGATACACAAATACATAAGGATTTACAAGATAAGCTTACAACAGCGGCCCACAGACTCCAGTGCAGAAGGGCTGTGTATGTGAGAGACAAATGGTCCAGTCCAAGGCCTGGAGCCCACTGTCACGTCCCATGTAAGCCCATATCCGGAGGCTGAAGGGTTTGCATTGGAAGAGTGAAGAGCTTGTGCTGGACGCCAGGAGACGACGCCCAAGGTGAATGTGAATACTGGTGCTCCTCTTAAGAACCAGAACCAAGCCTTCCTTCTTCCTTTCCCTTTTATTCCATTCAGGCAGCAAGCCTATTGGCTGATGCATTCACACCCTCAGTGGGTCTTCTGTCTTCAGCAAATCCCTTCAGCCAGACCCATACTATAAAGATACAATTTAATTGTTGCTTTGCCTTGGTTTTTTGGTTTTCTTTCTTTCTTTCTTTCTTCTCTGTTTGAGATAGGGTTTCACTATGCAGTTCAGGCTGGCCTTGAACTCACTATGTAGCAGAAAATGACCTCAACTCACAGCGATCCTCCTGCTTCAGCTTCCCCAGTGCTGGGATCACGGGTGTGCACTATCACCACTATCACCCTGGCCAGTTGGGTGTATCTTACTCAAGTTGGCACAGTCAGTTAACTACCACAAACATACTATATAACTTTCTTATTATATTTATTGTCTAGCCATCCTCCAGGAAAATTCTCAAGGGCAGAGTTCAGCAGACTTGGGTCACCATGGTGGCCTCAGTCCTGAGCCCATTTCCCCATAGGCACACAGCCTCCCAGGAACCCTGGTGCCCAGCACTCATCTGTAACTCCCTGGGCCTCTGCCTGTGAGCCTTCTCCAGGCCAGCCAGGTGGACTGGGAAAGCTGGGGAAGTATGGACCCAAGCAGCTCTCAGGTAGAGAATAAGGAAGCCAAGGATAGATGCCCTCCAGGGGGACAACTTGACTGTGCTCTCCACCATCATTCAGAGCTCCCCAGCAGGATCTCAGCCCTGGTGCCCACAGCAGTAGCCTGCTTAGCAACACACACATGGTGCTGGCTGCCTCCCCTCTTCCATATCTCTCCCCATTCCTCTGTCTACATTTTCTGACTCACTTCCCAAATAAACCATTTGCACCTGAATCCATGTGTGTGAGTTTGCTTCTGGGGACCCCAATCAAATATGCACCTGCCGGGTCTGGGGATTTAGCTCAGCGACATAAGCACCTTCCTTGCCAACATGCAGTCATGAGTTCTATCCCCAGTACAAAAAAAAAAAAAAAAAAGTAAATAAATACGCACCTGGTTTTACTCCAAGCACATAGCAGTGCTGGTACCGAACAGGTGCACCCTAAGGATTTATTGCTGAATGATGTGAACTCAAATAGTCTAGAAATGTTAAAAAGTGGGGAAAGAGGGGCTGGGGATTTAACTCAGCGGCATAAGCACCTGCCTTGCAAGCAGGCAGTCATGAGTTCAATCTCCAGTACCAATAAAAAGGAAAAAGATCAAAAAAAAAAAAAAAGTGGGGAAAGAAACCTCCTAGAAGTAACAGCTATTAAGTTTATTTCCTTATTTTTGTGGTGCAGGGAATGGAACCCAGGGATTTGCATATGCTTGCAAATGCTGTACTACTAAGCTACATCCTCAGTCCTGCTCTGAAGCTTGTTTTTCCTCCCAGACCTTTATCTACTTGCACACACACACACACTTCATGATTCTAACACAGGAGTCAGATACCTCAGCTGTCATCCCTGTCCTGCCCCTGGGCAGGTCATTCTCTCTGAGCCTCGGTTCCCTCGACCATCAGATGAAGGAAAGGTATCCAAGCAGTGGGGGCCCAAGATCATTGTATCCTGAAAGCAGTTCCCAGCACAAAGGAGCCCTCAGTGCACCACGATTCCAGTCATCTGAGCTCCAGTTTGTCCAGATGATCCTGTTTCCTGTGCAGTGTGTCTGCAGAGATTCCTAGACCCTACCTCATCCTCTCAAGTGCTCTGGGAGATAGGATCAGGCAGCCTTGGGGACAGCCCTCCTCATCCTGTGGGTCAGACTCATCCAGCTCCAACTCTCATGCCAGTTTAAATGTATATATGTAGGCACAAAAGTTGCAAAATAGTACACAGAGTATAATTCCACTTTATTAGAACAAGAATTTTTTGAGTAGTGATGCATAAGAAAATATATATATATGCACATATAAATTATATATGTGTATCTAGGCAACATATGTTATGTTGTTGTTTCTAAGCAATGGATATGTTTTAAAATTTTCTTGATTGGTAATTTTTCATTTTGAGTGCCAGGAATCAAAACGTGGGCCTCATACATGCTAAGTAAGTACCCTTCTGCTGAGCTGTGAATATTTGCATTTATAAAACTTTTTACAACTTTCTGTATAATAAACGAAATGCAGTAAGATAATAAATATGGTACATTACTAATTAATATGTTTTAAAGAAGAAGGGTTTTTCAGGTTATACTAACTTAGCAATTAAAGGTGAAAGTGAGAAGTCAAGTTCAGGTAAAGCTTGGCTTTTTGCTGTCCAGTGGCCTCCTCTCCCACATCTGTTGTCCTTATAAGGGTTTAAAAGAAATCCCTGTCCCGATCTTTGAGTGGGGTTTGGAGATGGCGCTAAGGAGAACACAGGTGTTCCGGTTGCTCGCTTTACCTGCCTCTACCCTCTGTTCTGCAGGTAAGTCCTGCAGTCCATTTAGTCTCTGCTCCCAGCAGCTCAGCCTCTTGCCCTCCAAATGCATCTCACAAGTCCCCCTCCTTCCTGATCATTCTTTTGCCCAAGGTAGCTGCCCTTCCCGTCCCACACTGGTCAAAGCAGCAGCACTAGCAATGCCTCCGCGTGGTCAGTAAATATTAACCTTGTACTAGGTACTAAGGGGGCCCTCAGGGCATCCCTGCCAGGCACCTTTCTAACCCTTTGGGGAAACCAGAACAGGCCCGTGGGAACTGTTTAATGTCACTGGAGTTCTTCCAGGAGGATATAACTGCAAAGTGAGCAAACGAAAGGAATAGGATATAGAAAATGATACAGATTGTATGACCAATATTGCACTTTAGAAAACAGCTATAGAATTGGTGACAGGTTTAGAAAGCAAGTCAAAGAGAGAATAGAAAGAAAAATTATATACTAAAATAATAAGACTGATTATCTTGGGTGGTGAATATGTAGGTGATTCTTTTCTATTTGTCTATGTTTTCTACAATAGATTTTCTTTCCTTTTTTATTTTCCTCCCCCCGCCCCTCCATTACTTCCATTTTTTAATTTTGTTTTTCCAGGACTGGAGATTGAGCAAGATGAGATTTCACTAAGTTGCCCAGACTGAACTTGAAATTGTAACCCTCCTGCCTCAGCCTCCCAGAGTGCTGAAATTACAGGTCCGCACCACCACATCTGCCTATTACAACGAACTTTCATCACTCTTTATTTTTCAAAAGTATTATTATTTGTCCTGGTTTCAAAAGAAATACAGGATCATATTTAGTTCATAAAACAAATTTCAAAAACTTACTGCATACTATAAAATATGAAGATACTGTTAACCAGAGTTGTACAGCTATATCATTGCTCTAAAAAGTTTCATTATTTTTTCTTATTTCAAAATTAATATATATTTATTGGAAAAGAAAATAGAGAGCAGGGTGCAGCTGTAATCCAAGCAATCTGGGAGGCTAAAGCAGGAGGACTGGAAGTCTGAGTCTAGACTGGACAACTCAGTGATTTAACAAGACTCTACCTCAAAATAAACAATTTTTAAAAAGGATTGTTATGTAGCTCAGTGTAAAGGCCCTGTGTTCAATCTCCAGTAACACACACACACACACACACACACACACACACACACACAGAGAGAAAGAGAGAGAGAGAGAGAGAGAGCAAGCCTCAATTCTGTCACTCTGAAGTAATCACAAATTTTCTAATCTTTTATATGCATATTCATAAAGTTCATTCATTTCATTTTTATAAAAATAGGATCATACTATACATACTGCATCACACACAATTTCGTTTAATACTTAGTGAACACCATTGTATGTCACTGGATATTCTTTTGTCTGCAGTATTTCTCCATAGGAGCCTCAATAACATTTTTTTTATTTTATGGAAAAAAGTAAAACAAAATTTCATAACAAAATAATAGGAGAAGAGCAATCGTTAACCCACTGAGTACCCAATAACATTTTAAACTGAATAAACACAGTCATTCCTCTATCGATGGGGATCGCTTCCAGGAAGCCCTACTGATACCAAAATCTGCAGATACTCAAGTCCCTTATGTAAAATGCTGCAGCATTGGCATACAACACACTCATACCCTCCTGTATCTGGAGTCTTTAAAAGATCTCCAGATAAATTATAAAACACAATGTAACTGGGCTGGAGATTTAGCTCAGCAGCATAAGCATCTGCCTTGCAAGCAGGCAGTTGTGAGTTCAATCCTCCATAATGTAACTGTTATGTCAGCACTTGATATGCCATGTTATTTAGGAAATAATCTCCATTTTCAGTAGAGACTTTTCCTGAACTCTTTTGATCTGCACTTGGTTGAATTCACAGGTGTCACCAGTGCGTGTGGAGCCCGTGAACAGGGAGAAGTGAATGTTGTTCTCAGTATGCGTCTATGGTGGGCATGGCACTCTGTCACCGTAGCTATTTCTCTTTTTTTCTTTGGTACTGGGAATTGAACTCAGGACTTTATGCCTACAGCTATTTCTTTGACAATAAAAAAAAAATGAAAGTGGAAAAAAAATGGGAGTGGGTGGCTGAGATATATCTCCCTCCTCGTCGAGAATCACTCCTCTCATGGAATCATTTCTTAAAGTCCTCGCCACAAAAAAATCATTTATTACAATTATGAGAAACATTGATTTAAAAAAATTTCAGAGGGGTAAGAGCATTTGCCTAGCCTATGCAAGGCCTGGGATCTGAACCTTAGCACCTGAAAACAAACAAACAAATAAAGACTTCTAAAATATTTCAGAAACACTTGCAGAAAAATGCTTCACATAGACCGTAACCTTTCTGCTTTCATCTGATTAATTTCTTAAAATCAGATCCTCATAGCAGATACCCTGAGTCAACAGATAGATACATTGAAAACGTTAAAGTTTCTCGTGTAGTTGGTGTGTTTAGTTAGGTGCTATCTAGTACCTCCCCTTATCTACTAGATGAGGGTTTTGGCTTGTGTCTACATGTACCCCTAAAGCCTCAAGCAATCATAGGTGGAGCTTTGTCAGAAGTAGATGGATCTAGAATGTGTGATGCTTGGACTGATTCATGGTACAATGCTAGGATCAGGGTCACTGGGATTAAGGGCATGAGTGCTACCTGCCCTAAGTAGCTTAGGTAAGATAATAAGGAATAGAAAGAGCCATGATCCTCCCTGTTGCTTTACTAACTTTTTTTTTTTTTGTCTTTTTCCTTTTTACCGGTACAGGGATTGAACTCACGACTGCCTGCTTGCAAGGCAGGCGCTTATGCCGCTGAGCTAAATCTCCAGCCCCTGCTTTACTAACTTTTGCATTCCATGAACTGTTTCTCTTCTGCCATGCACTCTGCCTCAGAGCCAGCTAATTATGGACTGAAACCTCTACAAACCGTGAGCTAAATAAACTTTTCCCCCAGTAACTTTGGACTTCTGGTATATTGTCTCAGCAATGAGAGAAAAGTAATTATAACAATGAGTAAACATAAACACAAAAAATGAAGTGATCTGGTCACATAGAGAACAGGTATGACTTATCCGATTTTGTTTGATTTGTTTCTAATTTTTTTTTCAAGACAAGATTTTACTACATTGTCCAATTTGGCCTTAAACTCCTAGTCTCACTTACATCCTTCCTCACTTACATACACATCCATGAAAGCTTTAATCTACCATGATAGCTGTGGCCTTGGAGCTCTACCCAAGTCTCTTATGATTTTTGGGGACTCCCTGGCTAGAGGAGGGAAGGAGGGACAAAAGGTGGATTTGAACCAAACATCTGTTCTGTAACTCTCCACAAAGTTAGGCCCAACAAAGGTTTGAACTCTACTCTGTGTCTACGTAACTGTACGATCTTGGGAAAGTCCTTGATCCTCTGACCTTCATCTCCCGCATGGCTGAATAGGAATGCTGGGAAAAGATTTAAGCAAACATGTGTTCTTGATGGACAAATACATTCCTGGCCTCACTGGCCCTGCACCCCTGACACATAACGCAGACTGGGTTACCAGGGAATCACATTATAGCACAAACGACCCATCTGATAGAGTGCGAATACACTACAAACAGTGGAAAACCAGAGCTTTCAGCTGCCCTTGGGTTAGAGGAGCTCGCCAGTGGACATCCTTACCGGATCCCAGAAGCTTTCTCTGTGGGGGGGTCACCATGTTAGAGACATAGGGGTTCTTATCTGGGGACCCCCTCTCACTGTGATCTGTTTCCCTGCCTCTGGACTGTCACCTGGGTGACCCAGAGGACGGACCTGGGTGGTTGGTTCCAGAGAACTGTGAGAACTGCTGAGGATAAGCAAGGCCTGAGCTGCCACACTGTGTCCCTGTCTTGTGTGGCTGTCAGCTGAGCTAAAGCCCCCAGAGGGAGCACTGCTGGAGCCATAACAGCTGCCTCCTGGCTTCTGAGGCCTCAGTGAAATGACAGCCACGAAGCTGCCGACAGAGGATCTGACAAGTGTCAGTCCCCATCTGTCCATCTCAGAAAAGGTACCTGTTCTTGGGTTCTTCCTCTCGTTTCTTCCTGGGTGGGGAAAGGGCTGCTTCTGACTTCCAATTTGAACAGTCAAGTCGTTTCTCCTTCTCCTTCTTTTTCTTCTTCTTCTTTGCTTTTTCTCTTTCCTGTCTTTTGGAGGATCCTGGAGAATCTGAACACAAAAAAGCAACCTCCTCTCTCAGTTTGGCTCCTCCTGAGCAGAACCCTGCATGTCCCTGGGGAGGAGGGAGCAAAGGGCAGGGACAGGACAGCTGCATACACTCCCCCCCCCCACACACACACCTGTGTGTGCAAATGCACACGCTCACAGGGAAATAAATACCCTGGAACACACACCAACACACCTAGCTATACCAGTGTACTCACAGAGACATTCAGTATATATACAAACACACGAGCACACACGGAGTAATATACATCAGCACATGTACAGTACAGCTCGCCTGTCTTCACACATCTTCCTTGTAACACACACTGAATGCTTGCTATGAGCCAGGCAATGCCCTTCCCAACTGCTAGAGAAGAACAAAAAATGAAAAAACATGGTTCAAGTCTCACCCAGTAGCCGTTTCCAGTTTTTGATGAGGACTTTGGCCAAGGCCACCACTTCCTTGTCTGAGCAACGCTTGCGAACCCCATTAACAGCAACCCCGATCCTGGTTGTCTGCAAAAAAGCAGGATAAGGGCTGGTTTGGGAATGGACACAGGGCTGGGTGCCTTAATTGGCAAGGCCAGCCCCAGCTTGGCCACCACCTCCTCGCAACCTACTTCCAGAGTCCTTCCCTGACCCAGGGCTGGGGAATAACCCCAAACCTGGAGCTTCCCTATAACTGAGGCCCTGATCTGCCTCCCTGCATAAGGTCCAGTACCCAAGGCTCTATATTAACAGGCAACTGGTTTTGGTGGAAAGATTGGGGGTGCTGATGGCAACAGGACCTCCCTGCTTCCTGGTACTCTGGCGACTCTAAGCTCAACTCTCTATTTAGAGCAACTTGTGGCTCTACACCTTGGGTCTGTGCTCATCTTTCAGAACCAAGCATATCCATGCAGTCTAGGAGCTGTGTGGCCAATCAGGGAGGATCTGAGAGCAGGGGGACTTTTCCTTCTCCCTGGATCATGGACCTCTTGGATCCCACAGGCCAGAGCCTTGGGAACTGGGCAGGTATGCGGGGACAGCAAATCCGGCTTTCCCAGATCCAAGGCTCCCCAAGCCCAGAAAGCACCCTGCCCTCACCTCTGCCCTCATGTCAACACCTTAAGATGCCCCTCCCTTCCCAGGACCCCCCTGGGGAATTTCAGGCGCCACACTGACCGGACTCCCCCCATGGCCCTTCCCTCCCCTAAGAGGTGCTGTCCCGGGGGCTCCCCCACACCTGAAGCAGCTGGATGGACATTGGACAGCTGTTCAGCTTCTTCAGAAGGTCCAGGGCCCCTTCCTGTGGGAGGTCACAAGGTAAGAACTGTGGGCTTAGAGGAGAGGGCAGAGGATACAGATGGACATGTGGACAAAGGAGAGATGCAGGGCAGAAACAAGGCGAGATAAGGAAAAATTGGGGCACAGACAAGCTCTCTAACTTCATGCCCACCACTCAGTTGAGCCAGTCCAGCCCTGACTCCTCACCCTGGCTCCTGCCTTTGCTTCTATTCTGCCTACTACCAGTGTGCCCTCCTGCCCAGAACTGCCCCCCATATGACTCGCTTTCTGCCTTACTCTTGCTGCCTGTGTGTCTGTAGCCTCCTGTCCACCTGTCCCACTTGAAGGCGAGCACTCTGGGTATTTTGGAGACAGATGTTACTGTTGTCTGGGCTGCCTTTCAGCTTGCTGGCTCAAGTGATCCTCCTGTAGCTGAGACTATAGATCCATACTTCTATGCCTGGGTATTGTGAGTTTTAAACCCCTTACCAGTCCAATTAGTTAAATATAGGATGACCAAAAATTGCATATTTTTTAATAATTTTATAAGATTATAGTGGGAAATATAAAAATGGCAGTTTTATTAAATGCATTCAAGGGGGCTGGGGATTTAGCTCAGTGGCATAAGCGCCTTCTTTGCAAGTGTGCAGTCGTGAGTTTGATCCCTGGTACCGATAAAAACGAAAAATACAAAAAAAAAAATGCATTCAATACAAGAATTGACTGGTTGAAATGACACCTGCCCAGGGAAAGATTGAGATAGTATGTGCTTCCGGAGGAACACCAGGATAAACCGCCAAAGGGCTAAATAGCTTCATCAAGGCATAATGGATATACGATAAACTCTACATTTTGCACTGTATGGTTTGATGAACTTTGCCATATGTATAAATCCAATCAAGATAAGAGCACAGACATCATCTCCATGGGTCTCGCTGGGCCCTTTTCTTTTCTTTTCTTTCTTTCTTTTTTTTTTTTTTTTTTTGTCTTTTTCATTTTTATCGGTACCAGGGATCGAACTCATGACTGCCTGCTTGCCAGGCAGGTGCTTATGCCGCTGAGCTAAACCCCCAGCTCCTCGATGGGCCCTTTTGTAACCTGTCCCTCCTGCTACCTCCAGCCTCCAGCAACCACCACTTTGCTTTCTGTCACTGTAAGCAATCTTGCATTTTTAAAGATTGTGTATAAAAAGTAGAGCACAGTCACTTTTCTCCTGGTTGCTTTCACTGGCTTAATTATTCTGCGATTCATCCATGTCGCCTCAGAGGTCAGCAGTTCTTTTTCATCAAGTAAGTCTCCATTGTATATATGCTCTATAATTTATTTCTCCATTCATCTATGAATGGGATCTTTCAGGTGGCTTCCAATTTGGGGCTGCTCCGACCAGGAACATTCGTGCTCAAGTCTTTGTGTGGACGATACTTTCCACTCCTTTTAGGAAAAGAGAACTGTTGTATTTCTGAGGCCTAAGAGCTCCACCTAGAGCCCAGCGCTCCCTGAGTGAATGAATCAAGAAGGCTGGCGGCAGAAGGTAAGGAAAATCTGGATGGCATCCCCCACACACACCGCAGCCCATTTTAGCCCGTCTCTTTATTTCACTCTTTTGCTAGAATCCAGCCCTTTTGCTTCTCAGTCTTTTGACAAAGATGAAATATAATGTTCAGAAGCCTGCCCAGGTCTCCTGTCCCGACACCAGCTCCTTAGGGAGCACCAGCTGACTGTATCCTGTACATCCCTTGCGTGGTTGCAGCTGCCAACTTGCTTCTGGACTGTGGCCCATGAGCTGCCCTCCGGCAGTCCTTAGCCTCCCTTAGAACTTCAGTTCCGTGTGTTTTCAGAGATGTGACCAGCAGATGTACATGTGTGCAAACTTGGGACGTAGAACTACACATGAAACATTCATTAAAAGTTTACGCAAACATGGCACACACCTGTACACACAGCGCTTTTGCTTGGGGCGAGGGACTCACAAGTTTGAGTCCAGCTGGTGCAATTTAGTGATTTAATGAGACCTTGTCTCAAAATAAGGAGGGGAGGGGATATAGCTTAATATGAAGTCCCTGCGTTCAACTTCTGGTACAGAGAAAGGGAGAGAGACTTAAGTCTTACTATGTATATGTGTGGGACTCCATTCTAAATATTTTACCTGCATTGAACCATTACAATGACTCCACAAGTTAGGTCCTAACCCCCTTTCCCATTTTTACAGAATTATTCTGTTTTTACAGAAAAAGATTCCAAGAAACAGTTTAAATAATTTGCCTCAGGTTACACACTTTGTAAGTGCCTAAGGTTACACACTTTGTAAGCCAAGCTGGATCTGAACTCAGGCTTCCTGGCTCAAACCGCTGTACAAATTGTGTGGGTATGAACATAGACCTGACTATATGTGCTTGATCATGGAAGAGCAGCAGGGACCACAGTGATCATGTGCTTGGTCCATATTTGACAGTCTTCTTATTTTTGTCTTTTTTTTCAGACAAGGTCTTGCTATGCAGTTCAGGTTGGCCTTGGGCTCACTTTGTAGCCCAGGCTGGTCTTGAACTTGCAAAGATCCTTCTACCTCAGACTCTTGAGTGCTGGGATTACAGGACTTTGCTACCACACCTGGCTTGACAGTTGGTTCTTAAGGAAAAAAGTCCATGAGTATTTGTCAATGTTTGCAATGTAAATACTCTTCCCGTGGCTAATTTCAAGTTAGCAACATGCCATCGTTGAACAGAAGAAGGTATTGGGAAGGACTGTGCAGTACTGTATCATCATATAGTACTTTCACCCCTAGATTTAATGGAAGTAAATTATCTCTAGACCACAGCTGAGAGTAAAAGGCAGTAGAATAATCAGGAGGTGATGATGATTTTGGACTATTCATTGCTTTTGTTTTTTTCATGTAATTAGCCAATAATTTAATTTTTCATAATGGCTGTGTTTAACAAGCAGCTTGCAAAATTCCTAAAAATTCCCAGTGTTGAGCCATTTCCAACTCACAAATGAGTGCATATCTCTGCATAACAGGGTCATACAGGGACAAAACAGCCATGAGCCTGGTTTGTGGCTGGCTTCAGAAGGCCATGTGCAAATGTTGCACACGGGTGTGTCTCCACCGGTGGGTGAGGAGCAGTAACTCTGGTCCAGGTGCAGAGCTTGGATCTGCAGCCCAAGGCCCTACTGTCTATTTGTCCCCATGGGACGTTGCCAGCAGCATGTCTAGGTGGGTAAATGTAGCTGTTTGCCAAGGCTGTGGCTCCACCTATCTGGATGTGGCTGTGTTGTGTGTAAACATGTGTGGTTGCTTTTGTGTATCTTTCTGTACTTACAATGGTCAGTACGTGTCACACAATGGTATCTGATGTGCCAGCCTAAGCAGCTTCGTCTCACATGCAGTTAGGCTCCTTATCACTTGCTTACTGGTCTGTAGGAAGCTGCTCCAGGTAGTACATGCTCACAGCGTCTGACAAAGCCCTAAGTCACTGGGACATCAGCACTGGCAGAACTGCCCGCCCTGAGCTGCAACGTGGAGGGGCTGTCTCATTACAGGAAGTGCTTCTTTTGCCTCCCTGCACTGGGCAGGCCCGCTTTCACGCCCACAGCAGCTCCACCTTCCTTGTCCAGATGCCCGGAGCTCTGTTTCCACCCAGATGCTGCCAAGAGTCCAGGCGCAGATGTGGCTGTTGATTGGCTCTGTGCAGCAGGGATCCTAAGAGCAGTCTTATGCTTTTGCAGGAGACAGCTCCGGGCACTTCCACTGGAACCCATCTACGGGATGCTGTTCTCCCTTCCCATTTCACAGAAGAGGAAACAGGCCCAAAGAAGGAGAGCAGCGGGCTTGGCTAGGGCTGCAAGAGGAGCAAAGAGAAGCCTCAAACAGCTCCTTTCCTGAGCTTCCCTCACCCCATCTCGAGCTCCTGGGATGGAGTGGGACATCAGAAAGGCACTGGGCTGAGATAATCTGTCTCCCTGCAGTGGAATTCTGCCCAGGATACTGGTGGGAAAGTGCTCCCCATGGCTTGAGATTCAGTTTAAGGGGAATTTTGGTGCAGTCTGGAACCTGGGCATGAAAAGGGGCAAGGACTGAGAGTTTAAGGGAGAAGCTTCCTGAACTCTGCAGGTGGGTGCTGTGCCTTTCTGAGTTTCACCTGCCTGTGCAATGCCAGCTGTCATTCACTGGTTCTTACCAGGTACCCGCCAAGCCTGCTGAATCCTACCTCATCTCCTGGCTGCCTGCAGAGTACCCCTGTCTTCTCAGAAGTGGAGAAACTGAGGCTCTGGACTTTGTATGAACTCATCTCATTGCTGCCCAGTGTCTACTCCAGAGCCCCCTGACACCATGGTTCCAGTGACCCCTTCCTCTGATTTCATCATTCATGTCAGCTCTAGATCCTCCTGTAATGTCCCTCCCTTCTCCAAGTTCCTAAGTTCATTGAATGTACTGTTAGTTACTTTCCTCTTTGCTCAGACAAAATGCCCAACACCCAAAATTAAAGGACGAAAGGTTTATTTGGCTCACAGTTTGTAGAGGTTTCATTTCATAGTCAGCTAGCCCCAAGCCAGGGTAGGGTGGCAGAGAGGCATTGCAGAGGAGAAACATTTCATGGTGGACAGAAAGTAGCAAAGCAAACATGGGATAGGACAGGTCTCTTTCTGTCACTTATATTGTATACAGGCCACTGGGATTAGGGCTGTGCCAAACCAACCAGTGGACTGATTTAGTAACTTCACACTCCCACCACCACACACTCACATTCAGCCACCTCTGAAAAAGTCTCACCTATGCTCCAGTAAGGCTTTGAGGGGACATCTAGACACAAGCTATAACATACTGAAAAAGCGAATCCCGATGCAGGACAGGCAGTGGGCAGAGGAGGACTGGAGGCAGGTTAACCTAAAGGGCATGTCCAACCCAGTCCTCCCCCTTCTCTTCCCTTTCAGCATAAAACTACATGCTTGGGGACCCCTGACCATGTTTGCCTAGGTCAGGGACCTGGCAGCCTGCAGCCTAAGGCAAAGATCAAAGAAGGGAAGGATCAAACATTAACTTTCCTTGGACCTGCGCTGAGCTGCGCTGCGGGGACTGAGACCCTCGGACAGAGCAATGCGCTGCCGTCTTCTCAGTTCTCTGCCGCGCACCTCCCCCAGGCCCCAGGCCCAGGCCTCCGCAGGCCTCATGCCCCCACCAGCCTGCACCTGTTAGGCCTCCCCCGCCTGCCCAGGCCCCACTCAGCAGCCAAGAAAAAAGTTGCAAACAGAACCGCTCCTGGCACGCAGGCTGTGGAGCCCTGGGACCCGCCGCCCCTTTGCTCCCCTCCCGCAGAGCCACTCCTCTCGGGAGAAGCGCGGGCCTGCACCCCTTCTCACACGCTTCCCTGCTCCTTCCTTCCCGGGACACCAAGGGTTTGCTCCTCCAGCCCCCCCTTCCCGAGGTGGAGGGGAAGACTTTGCACAGGCAGCGAGTCTCGAGACTCCGAAAGTCGTTTCCTACATTCAAGTCTCTTCCAAGGCCCCGCACAGGCTGCACAGGGTTGAACGCTACCTACTATCCAGAGGGAAGCGCAAGGTCCCCCAACACCCCGGACCATGCACACGTCCACCCCGAGGTGTCGGGCAAGTGCTCCCCCGGGGCCTTTCGTCCCGCACCAGCGCGCCTCCCTCTGTTCCCCGCGCCCCGCACTTGCCCCAGGGCGCCCCTACTCGCCCCGCGCTGTGCCGGGGGGGGGGGGGGGGCGTGGGCTCGATCCAAACTCCGCAGCCTCACCGTGTTCCTTCTAGCCACCATCTTCTCCAGCTTTCGGGCGATCCTCAGCAGCTCCTCTTCCTGGCCCATGTTGGCTCGCGACGCCCGGCGGGACGAGGGGCACAGGGCAGCGGCCGCGCCTCGGTGCAGCAAGGTGAAGGGCGCGCAACTGCGCGAGCCCCAGACACTCCCCCACCCCACCCCCACAGCGCGCCCGCCCGGCGGGGGCGGGGCTGTGCCCTCTCCCCCCAACCTCGGGGCTGGGAGGGGTGTCGAGAACTAAATATAGACTTCAAGGACTCGGCCAGGCAAAGATTGCCCGCGCCGGCCGCCTGTGGGGGCCCTTCCGTTCCAGGGAAGTCGGGAGCTGGAGGGAGAGCTGAGGAAGGGGGCTCTCCGGCGCGCGAGGAGCCCCTTGTCCTGGCCACAGGTGGCAGTCGTGCCCCACGGGGCGTCCGAGGAATTTCTGGGCTCCAGTGTTGCAGCTAGGAGTGGGAAGGCCCCGCTGCGTGCTTGGGCCCAAGTGGAGACGACTTGGTGCGCTGGAACCTTGCTTGGTGCTGCTAATCATTGCGTCTAGCTCTGTGCTAAGTTAGGCTCACGCCTTCGTGCCTGCGGCCTGGGCATGCGCATGCAAGCAGCTGTTCTGGTCTGTTTACTTCTTACGGTGAGGTTTTGTTTCCACTGATCCCAGGGCCATACCTGAGTGGTGGAGAGCTTGGATTCTTAAGGACACCTAGGTGAGAAATACTTATGAGGTGTGCAGAGATAACTCATATTTCCTCAGGGTCAGGCTGGTGCCCCTTAGGGTTGGGTTGGGAAGAGTAATTTTGGGTAGAGGGGAGGAAGAAATACTGTGCTCACCTTTCCAGCTGGGCACAGTCCTCCGTTCATGTGGAAGGTCCTTCCCAGGCACCCCTACCCCGACCCCCACCCCACACTCCTGGCTCCCTTCCTTAACAAGTGAGTTTAGTGGGCAAATAATGTCCTTCCTGGGAGCCGCTCAGGGTCCCGGAGGAAAGGCAGGAAAAGTGGTCCAGAGTGTGCAGGCTGGGGAGCTGTGTTGTGGGGTGTCTGGTTAAAACTCCTTTCTCAGAGAATTCAGGGATAGTACTGTTTTCCACTGCTGCGTGTGTGACTAGTGACAAGGTGGGTCATGTCATTCATTCAACGAACATCTGAGCAAGACCGATCTAGTCCCAATAAACTGGGCAAAGGAAGCCTTAAACAACAGGGATAGCAGTCAACTCTGGGTAGTGGGGACACAGCCTGCACAGTTAGAAATGATCATCTCTGAAGAAAGGACATTTTTTGGGGAGGGCATACAGCTCAGTGGCATAATCATCTGCCTGGCAAGCACAAGGTCCTGAGTTTGATTCCCCGTATCAAAAATAAATAAAAATGTAAAGAAAGGGCTAGGGATTTAGCTCAGTGGCATAAGCGCCTGCCTGGCAAGCATGAGGTGATGAGTTCGATCCCCAGTACAGCAAAAAAAAAAAAAAAAAAAAAAAAGGTGAAGAAGTGTTCACAGGGCAGGAAGAAACATTCATTCGATATACATTTACTGAGCAACTACTGTGTGCCAGGAGTTTTAGCCCTGGGTATCCAGAGAGGAACAAAACAGTGGCTCAGTGCTAGAGTACTAGCCCAGCAAACAGTCTTCCACCCATGCAGTCACCTCTCTGAGGTGTGTGATATCAAAGCAGCCCAGACTCCTACATCACTGGAGCTAGAAGGACCTAAGAAAACATCAGGTCTTACCCCTTTCATCATACAAACCGGAAGACAAGATCAAAGTGGGCGTGACCCACCTCAGGGACACAATTCTGGACTTTTGTGACACCTTGGTACCCACATATTCCACCACCTGCCTGCCTCAGAGGTCACTTGCAAACAATTCCTGGACACGCCTCTGACAGTTCCCCACAGCTCTTTACAAGCCCAGGAGCAGGCAGGGATAATCAACAAGAGATCGGAGTTGGTGTGTGTAGGGGGGGGAGTACCCCACTTCTCTCACCTCGGCGGGACAACATGGAGATTTAGGTGCCCCACAAGCTCGTCCTTATTGCCTGCCGTGTCACCCCACATTAACTAACGCATCCTTTATTGCTCTGCTTCTTCTTGACACTCTGACCATACTTCCTGGGATCCTCCCATAAATAAACTACTTACCCTCAAACAAATCATTATCTTGGGGGCAATCAACAGAGATGGTGGCAGGGACGGTGGCCAAGCCAAACACTCCAGGTCGCCAAGCATCTCATCCAGTGTTCTTTCCTTCATGACCTCAGCAGTGCTGACATTTTGAACTGGATAGCTCAGTGCCGTGGGGCTGAACTGTTGCTGGGTTTGGGGATGGTTTGAATGTGTCCCCCAAGGCTTCCTGTGCTGGAAGCTTGGTTCCCAGGGTTGAGAGGCGGTAGAAACTTAAAGGGGAGAAGGATTACTGAAAGGTAATTACACCACCTTGGAAGGGACTAACACTGATGTCCTGGAGTATGTAGGTTCTGGCAAGAATGGGTTGGTACTGAGCAGGCTGCCCTGGCTCCTTCTGCACGCTGCTGGTTCCCTTTCCGTTTCTTTGTCGTGCTGTGATTGAGCCGAGGGGGCCTAGGCCAGGACGGTCCTAGGTTTAGACCTTCAAACAGCATGAGGACAGCATGATAGCAGTTATCAGCCAAATAAACCTCTTTTATTTCAGAAGGTACCAGCTCTGCTACTTCACTGCAGCAACACAGAACCAACGAAGACAGGGATAGTGTAGGATGCTTAAAGCATCCCTGGCTGTGTCCACTAGGGGCCAGTAGCAGCCTCCGGTTGGGTACTATTTTCTGTTGTGCCAAATGTCCCCCAAGGCAAAACTGTTCCTGGTTGTACCACAATCACAGCTCCACACCAGCTCCACATTGTCTCTCTTGCCAATTCAGAAGAAGAATTCCAAGCCACAAGATTCCTTCCCTTTCCCTTTAACTCCTCAGATCCCATAGATGAAGCCAATGGAATTTACCGCCCCCCAAATTCTTTATTATGATAAGTGAAAGAACGAGTTTGAGATGAACAAAACCAGATGCTGGGGGCGCAGAAGGCGATCCTGTTTCTGAGTGACCATGGACCAGGATCAACGGTTCAGACTCCTGGCCACACTGCCGCACTGGCCCTGATGCTCTATGGTACCCTGCGTGGCCTGGCCCAGCCCAGCACCCAGCAGCTGCAGAGTATTGACCTTAGAGGTCGTTGATGGTCAGGGAGCGCCTCTCTCCTACTCGGGGCTGAGCTCTGAGGGAAATCCCTAACCCAGGGAAACAGAATGTGAAAGCTTTGCTCTGTCACTCACCTCTCTCTTTTTATGGCCACTCACTCCCCCAGACTGGAAGACTCCTGAACTGACCAAGAGAAAGAAGTAGGGATCCACAACCCAGGTCACTCCTGTTGGTCCTGCTACCTCAAGGAGACACGGAAATGTAGGTGAGTAGACTGCACTTCCTGGCTGGGGAGATCCTGAGTCCAGACTCCAAGGAGGGCTGTACTGCCCTGCAAGGGCATTCAGAATGTTTATTTAGTAGCCAGTACAGCAATAGGCATTGGCCAACTGGAACAAAAATGGGCTGCAGACAACTAATGGTCAGACAGGAACCAGCTGAGTATATAGGTCCTGCCCCTGAGCCCAGAACTAGCGTCCAGAATATAGTTCTGCGTGTTCTTGTATCAATTCTTGAAACCAGCTTCCCAGCAGGGGCCACAGCTGCAAGATCCTTGCTTTATGTGCGTGGCATCCACAATGCCTGGTGCAGGCCTGGACAGAGCTGGAATTCAGTAAAAGGCTGCTAGACCAAGAAGAGGCTGAGATACCCAGTCTGGAAGAGAATGATGCAGGAGAGTATGTCCTGCTGCAGCCTCTGACTAAAGGGAGAAACGCAGTCCTGGTCTGCTGCGGGACTGAGGGTTCGGTGGCTGAAGCCAGCTCAGGGCTCAGATCCAGATACAAGGCTGCCCGGCCCTGGGGGCAATGAGATAGAAGAGAAGAACCACTGTCAGTCCCCAGTGCAGGCCCAGTGTCCTTGACAGCAGCATGGTCCACAGCAGAAGAAGGCTATGAAGGTCAGAGAGACCAAGACCCAAGGGAACAGATGCCTCGGCTCCTGCTTCTGTGGGCTCAGGTCCCAGCTCTGTATGTTGGGGTCCAGCATGGGTCAGCAGGGAGCAAGTCTTACAAAAGTTACAAAGAACTTGCTGGAAGAATGCCAGTTTTTGAGCCATCTCCTTCAGGAAAGCCAACCTGGGGAAACAAGGATAAAACCAACACTTTCTCAGCACCTATTATGTACCCTCAATTCACATCTGTCCCCGCATGGGGACAGATACTCCCATCCTACAGATGATGCTTAAAAGAGGCAAAGCCACTTACCCTAGGTTTCCTCACTCATCAAGCCTGAGCTCTTAGTATCACACATGCCACAAGCAGTATCAGCTAAAGGGCTGGTGATGGATACATGGGCAACGGTGGAAGGAGGGTGTGGACACAGATGTGTACTGGTGCTTGTCTTTAATAGACTGATAATGGCTCTTCAGAGGAGGTGGCTCCTGCCCCTGGCCTCCCCGTTCCACAGATCACCTAGCACCAATAATCAGTGCCATCCCTGAGGAATGCCTGGGGCATCCGAACAGCAGAGGCTGCCTTGCACAGGCTGGGATCCATGCCCCTTTGCAGGTGCAGTTACACATGTGCCTCGGACACAGCACTGTTCATCCACCCATCACCTCTGTTGTCCCTCAAGCCCCTGGGCTCAGGCAGGAAGAAGGCACACTAGAGGGTACTGGCCAAATGGTGGTCATCTGGGCCCATGTATTTGTGCATCCATCTTGGGGAGAAGTCTCCCAGCCCACTATACCTATCTTTGACAGCTCCACACCCCGTCCCTGGCCCTGAAGCCAGTCTCTGGGCTCCTACCGGCATGTTCCTTCTGGGCAGAGGCTGTCGGGCTGAGGGACCATCTTCCAGGCTCCGAGCCCCCCGCCGATAGGAGCGAGTGCTCTCCGAGCTGGAAGGCATGGAAAGGTCAATGTCACCCTAGTGCCCAGAGTCGCTCAAAATGGGGAGATTGGGCTCACGTGAACAGCAAGCTGGGGGACTTAGGACAGGAGGGCAGAGTCCACAAGACCCTGCGGCTGGGCACACCACACGTCCAAGAGGGTTTTAGGGCTTTGGAGGCAGCTCCAAGTCCAGCTCTCCCAAATCCCAGAGAGAAAGGGTGTCCAGGGAGGGCTCTAGAGGGCTGGAAGCTGAGCTGCAGTTGTGGACACAAGCTACACAGGAGGGCTAAGCCTTCTCTTTTCCATCCTCAGCAGCCAGGGTCCCAGGGCAGACTTGGGAGCAGGCCGGGGAAGGGGAAAGGGCCCAACATCCTCCACCCAAAATCCGGGTTCTCGGCCCACAGGAATGTGGCCTACTCTTGGAGCAGGTACTATTAGAACCAGGGAAACAAATGGATGCCCAGAGAGGTCAGGAAACCTGGCCAGGTCACACAGCTGGGCCCTCACCCACCTGAACCTGACGGGGGGGTACATATCCGCAGGGATAGTACCAGATGTCAGGCCAGCTCGGGAGGTGCTTGGGGGCTCCCGGAGGCCCTCTTCAGAGCTGGGAAGGGCTTGGCTGGGTCCTCCAGGTTCCACAGGGC